CATTATAGGTCACTACTATGTAATGCAAAATACTATACAATATTAAATATATAAGGCAAGTACAGGATTTTTGCAATTTTAAGCTAAAGTAGATGAATGACTTATAACATAAACATTAGGAGAGACCGGGGACAGTAGCAACAAGGCATGGTTGCAACATGTCATTTTTCTCCAAACAGAAACAAACTAGTGTGATGACACTCACACTGTACATGCTCCGTTAGATGACCCACCTTGTAAAGAAAAAGTAAGCTGATTCAAAAACTGCTCCAGGATTTATTTGAAAAAACTGTTTTTGAGGTGCCAAAGTATTTTTTTGCCCAGCTTTATTTTTGTCATACTGTTGTCAACGTTTTTGTGATCCAGCTCAAACTTATATGGCTTAAACAAGTGATATGTTGAATTTTAACTAATATACAGTAGTTAGCATGTATCAAGATCAGCTTATTTAACTAATACACGAGGTTTTATCATGGCTGACAGGAAGGTAAGGATAAATCCATTTAAAAACAGAGCATAAAGATGATATTAAAAGGTTGAAATTAAGTTTACACTTAAAAGGGGATTGGGTATTCATGACAATTTTATAGTTTAAAACAAAAAATTGTTTAAGATGTATTTTCTGCAGTTGTTTTCAACAATGGTTTTAAAATCCCAGTTTCTTTCAATGTAAATGTTGCATAATGCAGGTGACAACAGGCAAAACAAACGTTAATTGCCTCACAAATTCATCTATTTTACTTGTCTCTAAAAGCCAACTGTAATTTATATCAATTTGAGTCTTTGACATCTGTATATAAGGTCTAATCATCAAAGAAAATTTATATTTATCATTTGATCCAAAAGAATAAAGAAATAACACCGTAACATCATTATAACTTACAGTTCTTATAAATTTAGCAGTAATATAAATATAAAAATAACAAAACTTTTATTTACAGTGAAATATATTGTATTAATAATATGATGCAACCACCCCCAAACAATGTTGCAACTGTCCCCGGCCCTTGGTCGTTGCAACATCTGACTTTTCATTTTCAGATGCACATTGTGAAGAAAGTACAAGCTTTAATAATCCATAAATGGTTTTGACTAAACGGACAGATGCAAGTTTGTTGTATTAAATTTTGGTTTGACTAATTCAAACCTTCTGTGAGTAACAGAGGCAAATGTTAAAAGTGTTGCAACTGTCCCCGTTCTCCCCTACTGCCTTTCTGCAGGGTGATAAATATCCAAAAACAAAAATAGAAAGCCTAACTGAACCAAAGAACGGTGAACTCCTCATTATTGCAGGATGAGTCAGCAGTTTTCAGATGTTTCCCAGGCAAAGCAATAATAATAAAATAAAATATAAAATAAAAACTGAGAATCATCCATAATGTGTTTTTAGCTACTGCTGGTTCAAATATTCTTGTAGAGTCATCCACAACACTTACTGTGAGTATTAGTACTACATGATAGTACACAATTTGCTTTCAAAACTTTGTCATTAACCTTACAGTCACCTCTGCCTGTGTATTTGCAAAACATCTTATAATCATCTGGACAGATTTGAACATAACTTTCAGAAACTAAACTTGGGCATCTTGAGTATGTACAACCCCAATTCCGATTAGGTAAAATATAAATAAAAATAGAATACAATGATTTTCAAATACTTTTCAGCCTATATTCAATTGGCAACAAAAGACTAGGAATATTAAGAAATGCTGAAAAACAAAACAAAACAAAAATACCTGTTAGTAGCATTCCACAGGTGAACAGGTTAATTGGAAACAAGAGAGTGTCATGACTGTATAATGGGCGTGAGCAAATAGTCCAACAGTTTACAAACATGTCTCAATGTACGGTTAGGTGAGGAATTCATAGAATCTGGACAAATCTCTGCAAATAAGCAGCAAGTCTGGAAACTAACATTGAATGCCCATGAACACTGATCCCTTAGGCAGCACTGTGTTAAAAACTGACACCATTCTGATACCATCACATGGGCTCAGGAACACTTCATAAAACTATTGCCAATGATCACAGTTCATCTATACATCTATAAGTACACGTCTACCATGCAAAGTCAAATCCAGATATCAACATCCAGAAAAACCACCGTGTTCTTTGGGCCCGACTGACACCAAGTGAAAAAATGTCCTGTGTTCTGACGAGTCCGCATTTCAAATTGTTTTTGGAAATCGTGGACATTGTGTCCTTGGGGCCAAAGAGGAAAAGAACTGTTCAGATTGTTATCAGCGCAAAGTTCAAAAGCCAGCCTCTCTGATGGTATGGGGGTGTATTAGTGCCCATGGGTCATGGCATGGGTAACTGTCACATTAATGCAGAAAAGGGTTTTGAGCAACATATCCTGCCATCCAAGCCACGTCTTTTTCAGGGACATCCAGCTTATTTCAGCAAGAAAATGCTAAGCCACATTCTGCATGTGTTCCAACAGTGTGGCTTTGTAGTAAAAGTGTGTGAGTACTAGACTGGCCTGCCTGCAGTCCAGACCTGTCTCCCACTGAAAATGTGTGGAGCATTATGAAGTGCAAATTACAAAAACAGAGACCCCAGACTGTTGAGCAGCTGAAGTTCATCAATCAAGAAAAATTCCACCAACAATGCTTCAACAATTAGTGTCCTCGGTTCCCAAGCCCTTATTAAGTGTTGTTAAAATGAAAGGTGATGTAACATAGTGGTAAACATGCTCCTGTCCCAGCTGTTTTGGAATGTGTTGCAGGCATCAAATTCAAAATGAGTGAATATTGACAAAAAAAGTTAATCAATTTGAACATTAAATATCTTATCTTCATACTGTTGAATATAGGTTGAAAAGGTTTTGCAAATCGTCATATTTTGTTTTTATTTTACACAACTTCCTAATTTCATTGAAATTGGGATTGGATTACATGTTGTGGATTATTGCTTATTACCTCTATTATCATTCCAATTCAAGATGGCCACCACAGCTAGCTGACTTTTGCAAACACAAAAAGGACTCCAACTCTGCCAGCTTTACAGATATTTAGCTAAAACTTAGTGTGGTGGGAGATGATAATCAGTCACGACAAATTTGTGAACGACACATTGTGTGATATTTTTGGCATTTCCTATTAGCCAACACTGAATTTTGGCAGACCACTGCCCAGGATTTATTGGACTTTAATTCAGTATTTACTGAAGGTGTATGTACAACTTGGAGCCAATCAAATGACTGCAAATTAAATGATATTGTTCATAATTAGGGTTTGACCTAAATGTCTTTAACTCTGTCCCTTTTTTATTACAAGACGATCTCTTATAGCAGGGGTGTCAAAGTAAATTTCACAGAGGGCCACATTATAGTGGCCCTCAAAGGGCCAGCTGTAATTAACTTCAATGTTTAATGTTTCACTAAACATGAAACATCACGTTCCTCCTCTCATTGTTACAGCTAAACACTGCTAACAAACAATAACTGAGCTCTACGTG